ATGTCATTTGGGCATGTGGATTATTTTGAGGTAAAAGTACTAAAAAACAGCAGGTGCAGCCAGGGCTCTCTGGTCTTCCTTTTTCTTCCCCAGAGCAGGAGATAAAATGCCCACGTTGAGGGTACCAGGAGGAGAGGAACATTCTTATCACCAGAGACAGGGGAGTGGAGGCGAGAGAACTCTGTACAAAAAGACCCTGTTAAAATAACTCTGATCTTCCTTTGCTTTCTGCATATATGTTAGTTGTTTTTCCATAATTGCCTCTTTGTTCAGCCTAGTATATATGCACTTTGGTTTTGCCACTTCTTGGGGTCTTCATTTCGTTATGAAGCCTCCTGTGTCCTGCAAAACTTGTATTAAATAAGTCTGTATGCTTTTCTCTGGTTAATGTATCTTATGTCGATTTAATTCTCAGGCCCAGACAGGGATTGAAAAAGGGTAGGAGTAAAATTCCTACTTCTCACCCTTCAACACTCCCCCACCCCACCGTACCCCCGGCCACACACACACACACACACACACACACACACACACACAGTGCCTATGCTTAACCCTACCTAGTGAGACTGAGTAAAATCCACTTCCTGGCCTCATCGAGCCTGTTTCCATCACTGGATACAGATGGGTGAACACGAGCTTGGCAGAGGCATCTGCCCAGAATGCAGATGGAGGTGGCAGGGATGGTGGTGGGGGATGGGGGCCGGCAGTGGTGTTACAGGGAAGGCATAACTTCCTTTTGTCTAGCCATCACATTTCTAGAAGACGCGTTATTTAAACCACAAGTGCATGTGCTAAATTGCTTCAGTCGTGTCTGACTCTTCGCAACGCTATGGACTGTAGCCCACCAGGCTACTCTGTCCATGGGATTCTCCAGGCAAGAGTAATGGAGTGGGCTGCCATACCCTCCTCCAGGGAATCTTCCCAACCCAGGGATCTAACTTATGTCTCTTATGCCTCCTGCATTGGCCAGCAGGTTCTTTATCACTAGTGCCACCTGGGAAGCCTTTGAACCATAAGATGTGAGGGTAAATAGCTCTCAGAGCTTTCAGCTGCATTATTGAGTTGCTAAGTTGTGTCTGACTCTTGCGATCTCATGGACTGTAGCCTGCCAGGCTTCTCTGTCCATGGGATTTCCCAGGCAAGAACACTGGCGTGGGGTGCCATTTCCTCCTCCAGGGGATCTTCCTGACCTAGGGATTGAACCCATGTCTCCTGTATTGGTAGGCAGTTTCTTTCCCGCTGAGCCGCTCAGCTACATTAGGCAACCTCAATTCAGGCAGGCTGGTGAAACAGCGTGTCTGTGTGATCTTTGAGGCACGTGTCCTTGTGTGCAGGAAGGGGATGGTGTTGTCCTTGTAAACATCAAGAGAATCATGAGCACTGGAGTGGAGGTTTCCAGAGGTCCCTACGCATCCCAGAATATGGATGTGATGGTCGTAGTGGTTTCTTTACAAGGAACTCTCCAATAAATTAGGATTTGAGGTTAAGGTGAAACCGCTTCTGGCTTCAGAACAGTCATGTTAATGACCCCTGTGGAATTTGGGGGATGTGAAAACGACTTTTGTCAAGTTGTCAATTCAACCTTTTGTGAGGGAACATTGATTGCAGTCCACAGTGTCCACACCTTCTGAAGGTGTTTATATAGTTTTAATTATTTTGATGGTGTTTCGCTTCATTATTTAGTAGATGGCTTTTAATTTCTTTGAACATAGTTAGAAAGTCTTATTAGTATGTAATCTCTGGCATTGTGCAGAGATTCTAAGGATGCAGGGCTCAATCCAAGTGTCAGATTTTCTCATTTTCAGGGCCAGGAGCCAGATCTGCATCAAACATCTTGTAACTATCCAAGGGTCTTTCCTTTGAGTTAAGTCCTCTCTTCTCCCCAAATTTTGGTAAATATTGTTGTTGTTCAGTTGGTCAGTCATGTCTGATTCTTTGCAACCCGCGGACTGCAGCATGCCAGGCTTCCCTGCCCTTCACCATCTCCTGAAGTTTGCACAAACTCTTGTCCATCGAGTTGGTGATGCCATCTAACTTTGTCATCCTCTGCCACCCCCTTCTCCTCCTGCCCTCAATCTTTCCCAGCATCATGGTCTTGTCCAATGAGTTGGGGCTCTTCCCATCAGGTGACCAAAATATTGGAGCTGCAGCTTCAGCATCAGTCCTTGCAGTGAATAATCAGGGTTGACTTCCTTTAGGATTGACTGGTTTGATCTCCTTGCAGTCCAAGGGGCTCTGAAGAGTTTCTCCAGCACCACAATTCGAAAGCATTGCTCTCACATCCATCCGTACATGACTACTAGAAAAACCACTTTGTGAATAAATGTTTGTGTAATTTGGCCATTATAATATTAGCTCATTAAGATCCGTAGCTAAACAACATAGGATTATAATTGCTTTTTTTTAAAAAAAAAATCATAGAACCAAAGAGAGAAGTCAGAAGGAACATGTGGTGAAGGGAAAACCAGGAAAAGGAAATCTACTGAGCGCTTCTAGAAAGCATTGGCCAACTCTTGATAAGGAACCAAGACTAGGGGGCAAACTTTGCCTGTTTTATGATTTTGCCTCAGGTGAGACTTTTAAGGCTCCTAGGGAAGATGATTTTATTTGGCTACTGAGCAAGGTCCTAAAGTTACAATAAAGAGCCTCAAATTAAATGCTGGGATAGTCAGAAAGTAAATTTTTTGAGGAGTATTACCATCCATTCTGGCTCAGATGATAAAGAATCCACCTGCAAGGCAGTAGACCTGAATTCAATCCCTGGGTTGAGAAGACCCCCTGAAGAAGGGAATGGCTGGTTACTCACTCCAGTATTCTTGCTTGGAGAATTCCATGGACAGAGGAGCCTGGTAGGCTACAGTCCATGGGGTCGCAAAGAGTCAGACACGACTGAGCAACTAACACACACATACACACACACACAATCTGTTCTAAAATGTTTTTAATACTAAAAAATGAAATGATGAAACAATGCATTTATTGAATAGAATGAATACCTTTAATTTTCTTAAAAAAAAACTGTGTAGATCAATTTCTCTTAGGGAAATAACTGAACTGTATTGAATTCCTAGTGCAAAAAGTGTTCAGTCTCACTTTTTATCTTTTGTCCAGCCAGAAACTACTCCTAACATAAAACAGTGGTTCTCACACTTGGCAGTTGCTCTGAGCCATGGAGAATTTAGTATAAATTCTCAGGTACTATCCTAGACCTACTCTAGCAACACCCAGACGTGGGACCCCAGAACGCTGTTATTTTTAAAAGTTGTCCAGGAAGTCATAAAACAAACAGAGGTTTAAACCTTCCAGTCTTATCTCAGCCGCACTGCATAGCTCATGCTGCATACACTGCATGTAATGGTTTAAGGTAATAATGACCTTGTTGGAGGCCATTTCCTGTTGATTAATGACCAGCTGGAAGAAGTTGTCTCTAGGATCTTTCAATTCAGACTGCCAATAATTACCCAAGGAAAGGTACGCCTGCAGTTCAAATGTGTAAAGTTTTCTTCCATGAGGAACCTTGCACTCTTGGGTTGCCTTAATTGCATTCCTTTCCTAATTCATCTCTCAAATGCCAGAGTTGCTCCAAAACAGGGGAAAAACCAAAACAAACAAAGCAAAACAAAACAAAACAAGAGGATCAAAGTGTATGTCTCTGCTGGAACAAACAGAAGCAGAGGCAGGGGAGAAGATTTAGCTCTTGGGTGGATTTTGCTGAAATGTTCTATTTGTGAGCAGTGATTTGTACCAGGTAATGTGAACTAGGTCGCCCTCAAGTCTCTTTACAGATTACACCCCATTTCCTTTACCGCGCTGCTAAGTAATTCTTAGGGAATTATTCCTCATCAAACTTCTCTCCGCTAACAGTGATCAGCCACACATGCTTCCACTTTATGGACCGCTGGACAGCCGGTGGCTTCATAAAGCTGCCTGCCTTTCCAACTGTTCAGGCTGAAGCTGCAGGCTTTCCACCCACCGCTTTCCCGTGAGGTAAAGAGAATGTTCATACCTCAGGTCTTGTTACCAAGCAACAGAGTCCCATTTGCCAATTGCCACCATTTCCTTCTCACAGTATTACAGGCCTTATTATTAACATTTAGTTCAGAGAAATTGCTGTCATTATGTGAAGTAACTTCCTTTAGAGGTTATTCATTAACCTTAGGTATTTTACTGTGTAATTATAATTGTCAAGTGCCGCAGGCTTGGAAAACCTTTGAACTCCTCAAGGTATGAGGCCATGGCAGAGAGGATAGTATCTGATTTTTTCCCTCCCTTTTCTAGCTGTTTTAATCTTGAAGGTGTCTTATTTTCCCTGTGGAGGTGTCTGCCTTCCTAGAGGGTAAGCGTCCAGATTGCTGACCATAAGCTCAGAAGATAGCGATGGAGGCACTGGCCAGGGAGAGTCTGATTTCCTCAAATGCTGCAGACTACAGGGAAATGGCATCCTCTTAAGGAAAAAATCTTGGGGGTATTCATAAGACCCCCATGGTTGGCACATACTCTGGTGTGAACGTGGGACTCCGCGAAGACGTCGCACAATACCTGGAATGTGTATTGTGCACAACCTTGTGCTGACACAACAGAAAACCGTCATCCTATTGCTCACTCAATGGCTCCATAAAACCAATTTTTCACTCCCGGGCTTTGCAGGACCCAGGTGCGATTTCCCTAACATGCCTATGACACAGGCATCCTCACTAGCCATCGCTTACACAATTACCCGTGTGATTTTCTCCATCCCGGCGTAGTTGCCATCGTCTTCGGTCCCCACCCAGTACAACTTCGGGTAAGCATCTCACTTGTATTTGCAGGAGCACGTGGGGCGGGGGAGCACCCCCTTTCTCTCTTTGTCTCAAGACAAACAAAGGTAACTGGCGTGTTTCTTCCCCAAGCCACAGGCGCCTGCATCACGGGTGCCCTAAAAAAGAAAAGGAGACGTGTTCCCTCCTCCCAGGTTTCTGGTTTCTCCACCCAGTCTCCCCACCGTCCTCCACTCCCCGCACCCCAGCCCTTCCGGCCTCCGCCCAGACCGGGAGAAGCGGGCCTGACATTCCAGGTAACCCGATTCCCCAGACGGGAGGGGGAGGGGCGGGCTCCCCCCGCTGCTGGGAAGGCGGCCACGTGACCGCGCCTGCCGCCTGGGGAAGGCGCCCGGGTGCCCAAGACTAGGGGACAGGTGAGCCCCGAGTGCTGATCTGAACCTGAATCTCAAGGACGTAGGCATCCTAAAAAAGGGTCCTTGCTTCTTGCCTCCGACAGCCTGCCCTTTGATCGTGACCCCTGAACAGGCACGGCCAGCCGTGGTGTTTTCTGGCGTGAACCGAGCTGCAGACAAAAGCAGCGCGATCTCCGGGAGGAGAGCCCGGACAGGCTGCACTGGAGCCGCCGCACAAGTCTGGACGCAGAGGTGCGCGGGGGAGCAGGGCTTCGCGCCCTGGCAGGAGCCCGAGCTGCAGGCCTCGGCTGGGAAGCGTCCCTCGTCATTTCCCCTGCCTCCGACGTCCCCAGCTTGCCCTTGACAGCTCTCTTCTTTGATCTGTAAAACCGGAGGGAATAGGGGATACTTTGATATTCTTTAAAAGGCCCTGGGATTTGCTGCTTTCTCCCCAAATGCAGGGCTGCTGGAGAGTTTCTGGAAGGAACGTGCTCTCACATGTAATCTAATGAGCTTGGCCTCTTCTTCCAGTGCCCATTAATCAATCAACCAACACTGAATGCGTCTAAGTGTGGATTCTGTGTGCAGCCGGGAAGTAAGGGCATGGTCTCTGCTTTTAAGGTATTTATGGTTTAGCTGGGGAGCTGGGGATATACCTGAGTGTAAAACGTGAAAATAGCTAACACTTGCTGAGTACTAACCAGGTACCAGTTTCTTTTATTCCTCAAAAACCCCATCAAATAGGTACTGTAATATCACCCCCATTTTATAGAGGTTTTAGCCAGAGCCCAGGTCACAGGGCATGCGCAGTCAGGCTGTGTGCATCAGGTCTGGCCTGCTTCAGGGGAGGGAGCTGCTTGTGCAGGCCAAGTCTGTTGAACATCCAGTGATGATGAGTGGTCAGCGCCTTTGACCTGATCCTCTCCGCTCTGGTTCGGAGGCTGTCCTTGCCCTCTCTCTCTGGAGAGCAGGAAATGTGCCCCGAGGAAACTTTTTAGCCACCAGTGCCCTTTGGGACCCTTCACACTATTCTGTTTCTTCTCCTTCCTTTATCTTTTCCTGCTCAACAATCACAGTCTGGTTCATTATTCCCTAGGTAACATTAACCTTATACATATGTCTTAGTCCCCTGTGATTATATTATCCAAATAGAGAGAAGGGACCTAATTGAAAACGAATAAATGTACAAAGCATGCCAAGCAGAACTTCACCTTAGTGCCGTGGGACTCGGTGATGTCTTGGGTTCCTTCCTCTGACTTTGAATGATTCCTTCCCTCTCTGTTTTGTGTGGAGCAGTGGCCTTCCTTAAACACAGCCAGGTAGACTCAGTATAGCATATTCAACTCAATTTGCCTCTCATGATGAGTAAAGGACTGAACAGAATATGGTTTTCTCAGGAAAGCCAACATCCTGATAATTTTTAATAGTATAAAACCCTGGCCAATGGGATTTTATGAGTATCATGGGGAGCCACATCCTTTGGCCTGGTATATAATCCCACATCTCTGGGCACTGGGTTCATTACAGTAGCTCCCTTGGGCATGGGTCTGAGTGGAAACATGATGTTCAGAAAATTCCAGATTGATCCTCCAGCCCAATCAGTGGGGATTGAGAAGGCCCGGAAATCCTTGGTTAGTGTAATTCCTTCTTCCTTTAACCAGAAATAATAGGTATCTGAAAACTTGGTACACTTAGTTTTGCTTTTATTGAGGATCTTGGGCCTACCCGGTGGCTCCGTGATAAAGAACTCGTCTGCCAATTCAGGAGACTCAGGTTCGATCCCTGGGTGGGGAAGATCCCCTGGAGAAGGGAATGGTTACCCACTCCAGTATTCTACCCACTCCAGTATTCTTGCCTGGGAAATTCCATGGACAGAAGAGCCTGGTGGGCTGCAATCCATGGGGTTGCAAAGAGTCAGACATGACTTAGTGACTAAACAACAACAATGAAAAGAGCAGAGTACATGTCCGGAAATCTGGGTTCTCGTTTTGGACCAGTGACTAGCCAGCCTGGGACCTGTCATACCCACTTCCATCCACTTGCGCCTGTTTCCTCACCTTTAAAAAAATAAAAGCTTGGACCAGGCCAGTGGTTTTCAAATCAGAGCAGCTCTGCTTTTTTCTTATATATTATTGGAGTTGTGTGAAAGGAAAATGCAAATAGAGACTCATGGATAACAGCTGTTATGAACCCGCTGCTCTGGAGATTTGCTGAGGTCTTCAGCTCTAATGTTCTACAGTTCTCTTGAAGGCCCTTGGTAAAGGCCATGCTCCTTGGGAATCACAGCCATTTAGTTTTGGTGGATTATAAGCTGCATGAAGAAAAGAAGTTGGAAGACAAGATTGGAAATGAAGTTTCACTTCAGATTTGGGATTGCCATGGGTGCTTGGCCAAGGAGGCTGGATGTTGCTTCATTGGAATTTGGGGGCCACCAATGATTTTTTTTTTTTAATTATTAGTTGGAGGCTAATTACTTTATAATATTGTAGTGGTTTCTGTCATACATTGACATGAATCAGCCATGGATTTACATGTGTTCCCCATCCTGATCCCCCCTCCCACCTCCCTCTCCTCCCGATCCCTCTGGGTCTTCCCAGTGCACCAGGTCCGAGCACTTGTCTCATGCATCCAACCTGGGCTGGTAATCTGTTTTACCCTAGATAATATACATGTTTTGATGCTGTTCTCTTGAAACATCCCACCCTCGCCTTCTCCCACAGAGTCCAAAAGTCTGTTCTATACATCTGTGTCTCTTTTTCTGTTTTGCATATAGGGTTATCATTACCATTTTCTAAATTCCATATATATGTGTTAGTATACTGTAGTGGTCTTTATCTTTCTGGCTTACCTCAGTCTGTATAATGGGCTCCAGTTTCATCCATCTCATCAGAACTGATTCAGATGAATTCTTTTTAATGGCTGAGTAATATTCCATGGTGTATATGTACCACAGCTTCCTCATCCGTTCGTCTGCTGATGGGCATCTAGGTTGCTTCCATGTCCTGGCTATGATAAACAGTGCTGCAATGAACATTAGGGTGCACATGTCTCTTTCAGATCTGGTTTCCTCGGTGTGTATGCCCAGAAGTGGGATTGCTGGGTCATATGGCAGTTCTATTTCCAGTTTTTTAAGAAATCTCCACACTGTTTTCCATAGTGGCTGTACTAATTTGCATTCCCACCAACAGTGTAAGAGGGTTCCCTTTTCTCCACACCCTCTCCAGCATTTATTGCTTATAGACTTTTGGATAGCAGCCATCCTGACTGGAGTGTAATGGTACCTCATTGTGGTTTTGATTTGCATTTCTCTGATAATGAGTGATGTTGAGCATCTTTTCATGTGTTTTTTAGCCATCTGTATGTCTTCCTTGGAGAAATGTCTGTTCAGTTCTTTGGCCCATTTTTTGATTGGGTCATTTATTTTTCTGGAATTGAGCTGCAGGAGTTGTTTGTATATTTTTGAGATTAATCCTTTGTCTGTTGCTTCGTTTGCTATTATTTTCTCCCAATCTGAGGGCTGTCTTTTCACCTTGCTTATAGTTTCCTTTGTTGTGCAAAAGCTTTTAAGTTTCATTAGGTCCCATTTGTTTAGTTTTGCTTTTGTTTCTAATATTCTGGGATGTGGGTCATAGAGGATCCTGCTGTGATTTATGTCGGAGAGTGTTTTGCCTACGTTCTCCTCTAGGAGTTTTATAGCAAAATTTTGTCAGTTTTGTTTTGCATGGAGCTTGAGTGACAGAGGCCTGAAAAATAGTAGCTGGACTTCCCTGGTGGCTCAGATGGTAAAGAATCTGCCTGCATTGTAGGAGATTGGGGTTGATCCCTGGTTGGGACAATCCCCTGGAGAAGGGAATGGCTGCTCCACTCCAGTATTCTTGCCTGGAGAATCCCATGGACAGAGGAGCCTGGTGGGCTACAGTCCATGGGGTCGCAAAGAGCCAGACACAACTGAACGACTAATACACAAGCACAGAAGAGTTATTTCCTTATATAAGAGGCTTCGGAGATGGACAGTTTGGGGCAGGCATGCAAGCTCCATGCAGCATCAGGGCCCTAGACCCCTCCTAAGGTTTGGATTTTCTGTTTTAGTGAAGCAGGTTTTCATTCTTACAGTTACCTCATGGCCAGGATGGCTTCTGGACTCCATCCACCATGCTTGCGTTGCAGGCTAGAAAGAGCAGTAAAAGGGGAAAGGGGCATGCATCCCAGCTCTCAGCTCACTTTAATCAGCCCTCTCAGCAGTCCCTCATGACCTGTTTTTTTACATCTCATTGGCCAGAACTGAATTTCATTGCCACACCTGGTTTCGTGGAGGCTAAGAAAGGTACACTGTATTCTGGACAGGGAGGTGATTAGCTGAAAGCTTGGGTTCTGTTATGAAGAGAGAAGGGAAAATGGATATCAGAAGGCAGCTCATGCGTGGTCTTGCTACAGAATGATCAGAGCTGTGCCCTGGATTCAGAGTAGCTGGGCAGTAGCTGGGAAGCTGTGAGCTAGCTGGAGGGAATGAGGCTGTGAACTGGAGTGACCCTGGGAAGGTGGGATGGGGAGCAAGGGGAAGCTCACGCAGGGGAGGGCCAACAGGACGCTCCAGGTTTGATGGGATTTCATCAGCTGGGTGTGAGGACCTGGAAGGATGCAAAGAACACACCCAGTGTGAGAACCATGTGAAACAGATGCTGGTGATGCCCGTGACTAGAATAAGGAAGTCGGAAGGGGAGTTTTAGGGAGGGAGGCCATGGATTAGATTTTGGACAGGTTGAGTGCACCAGGTCTGGAGCTTGAGCGAATTTATATTGTACATTGCCAAGTAAATATGAAGACCACCTGCTTTTTAAAATCCTAATAGATAAGACATCCTAATATCTCAGATGCTTTCTTAAGCTTCACATGTTGTTATTTAGGGATGTTCTGTTAATCATGATGGGGTTACTTCTCTGCTGAACCTGAGCTCCATAGAGGTTCTTTTCCATTAGGTTTAAGAATCCCAAGGGCTTCCCTAGTGCCTCAGATGGTAAAGAATCTGCCTGCTAAGGCAGGAGACACAGGTTTGGTCCCTGGGTCGGGAAGATCCCCTGGAAAAGGAAATGGCAATTCATTGCAGTATTTTTGCCTAGGAGAGCCCATGGACAGAGGAGCGTGGTGGGCTATAGTCCTTGGGGTTGCAGAGTGACTAAATAACAACTAGGGATCCTGAGAGTTAGGACAAGAATGATGTTTGGGGCAAACGCACACTCCTTAGAAGAGCTTCTACCAGAATGCCCGTGTGTTCTTCCACCCTAGGGAGCACAAAACACAAAACTCTTTCGTTGTCATCTAGAAGCATGTCTTAGTAGTTGATGCCTTTATTGCCTTTTTGTTCTGAGCCTCCACCTGACCCC